TTTCGCAAAGTCAACTCAGTGTTCCTCCAAATACTACGGAATCTTTTTTAATATTGTGAATATTATGTGAACAACATTAAACTTTGTATATAAATGCTTTTCCGAAGGTACCTGAGGTCGGTGCTTCTCACCACTTATGTACCAATAAGCTATTTGTAAATAATAATACTAAGAATGTGATTTAATATGAGCATTTACAGTCGTCTCGTTCTATACATAAACAGACTCACATTTCAGGAGACTGAAAGATGCTCCTGGAAGACTTTTTCATCCTAGATTGATAACCCTTTCCATGGTTCAGGGTAAACGAAGGACAGTACATCAGGGTAACCTGTAAAATCAAACGTCTTTTCAGAGCAAAACAAGCATGAATATTTAGGTCTCTTGTATTCAAATGACTGAAGTCAGATCACTTGAGATGTGCGATAATGCGCCTGCTTCTCAGGAGGCTGAGTTCTTTTAAAGTGACAGTTTCTAACAAGATGTCTGTCTTTATTAACAAAAATAAACAAACAAAGACTATGGCATTCCAGCACGATACTTAAAACTTTAGAATTTGTCCAGATTCAATTTAATTTGTTCACATGAATACAAACAGAGTAAAACAAAATGAACTGATTGGACTCCACTAAACTGCTCAGAATAAATTCTAAGTTGGTGTAATTATTGGTGTTAGACAACTTAAGTTTCGAGTTTGTTTATTTCGCGCAATATGGGATAATGCATACTATTCTTCGAAAATTGATAGCCATCTAGTGAAAGAACAGTGGTTGCAACACAAAAAGAGTCAAATGCTACCAAACATCCGAGGTTATCAGTGGTAAAAGTGAGATCATCATTTACAATGTATATCAAAGTGTTCTATCAATTAAAATTTTGTTTATTAATACGCACAGATTTAACGAGCGCTACAGTTCGTACTTAGAGGGCAACGAAGGAAGCAAAACACCACGAAAGAAAACCTACCAAACACATGACTCAGTGTGTCCATCCGTAGGACAGGTAGAGCATACAGGACTCATGTTCACCCCCCTAAGTATAAATGGCTCTGGAGTATATCTGCATAGCCTGAATATGTTGAACAATTTTCATCGACACAGTTCTGCATTCCAAATGACGATGAAGGATGTCTGTCCGAAAGGCTATATGACAACATTGGTTCCTATTACCACGAATCCTGAAGCTGAATATTTAGTAAGTGGGAAGACTCGCATCAAAAGGCGGACGATCGAAGGTCAGGGAAGGGAATTAAATGAGGACAGGATGGTTCTCAGATAGAATATACTATTTTATTTTCAGCCCAAATGTGTTTTCAAAGTCACTTAGCAGCTTATTAATGACTGTCAGGCAGGACAAGTCAGTACACAGAATCGTGTGGCTCCCATGCAAAATATTGTATATTAGATTTTCACACCACGGAAAATGTGCAATTCTGAGATTAGGTCATGCGTTCTAGCAGCAAAGATAGGGAAAATTAATATCGAGTAAAATGTTATTCCTACATGTCCTTGTTTAGAACATGGTTCTGCTCCATATGCGCTTCTGATAGCGAGTCTTTTGATAGATTAGTCGGATTATCATCGTCTTGATATGAGTTTAGGATGTTGCCATTATGCATTTTTCGTACTGGATTTATTTTGTAACATACCAAATTATATAAGAACTAATACTGAATGCAAGCGAAGCGGGTGAATGTAACTTTTCACCTATAGAGGTAGACACTGTGATGAGTACGAAACCGCTGGTAAAATATTTTGATCGCGATGATTCTTAGCTGTTGTTTGTACAAATGTGGCATTAATCCATAACGCACAATGATAAATCAGAGGGAATACGATAACAAAATTCACACTCTGTGACCCCAACTTTAGTTCACAAAGAAGTCAGCGATTAAGTCTTAAGTCCTTTCACGTCTCAACCGTACATTATTTTAGAATGTGAGATAGTGAATAAAGTATTTTTATCAGACAGTCGAAGAATCAGAGGGCACTCCCAGGGAGAGATATTAAGTAACAGTTCACCATGCGAATTATGAAAGTGTTTATCTCATCGTGTAAGAAATTATGCTTATCTTCCTGGTCTTCATTCTGCACGACATTATATATCGTATCTACAAATATACTATGGGATGAAAAGCTTATAAGAGCTGACCTAGTCAAAATCTCATATTGTCAAACAAATTGATTTAAGGTTGTACTGACTCCTGTCTTCATGAAGGTGCTTCACTCAGTTGTGGAGTGTCTATTTACCTATTTCATGTATATATGCATACATTGATTTACATTTTTTTGCAAGTGAAACTTGTTTAAATATTGTGTACTGTGGATCGCATATGGCACTAAACATTTGTAACAATAACAGCCGTGACTACGGAACACGAGTGGACTCGAGGAAGCTGTAAGAGGCTCATAAGGAGCCGTAACTACTCCATCCAATCACCTTTTGGAAGAGTGTTTCAGAATTCTTACGTATAGCTTCCCGATTGGAAAATGCTAATAACGCCCTGTATGCTGATTGGTGGACTGTAATGATGATTTTGTTCTTACTACAAACTATAAATACCTGACAATTTTTTACTATAATTGACATTGTCTGTGAACAATATTCCTTTCATTAGTCTTCTCATTACGACTTGGAAGGGTTCTGGCGTTCTAGTGATCAAGAACAACCTTCTAGATATAACAATAGCCAAGAAGGCTTAAGTATCTTGATTGTCACGAAATGCTTAGAGTGACTTACCGTGACAATGAAGTCTTTCAGGATAGTTCACAACAATGAACGTCCTGCAAGCCTTATGGTTTATGATCCATCAAGTACAAGATGGTCTCTTGAGGAAGAGAACTCAGCTTCATTAATGCAACAAGCATCCACGCTGGATAATGTAGTTTGAAGGATACATTTCCCGAAGTATTCACTATTAGTGACGTAAGCAACCTAAAGTATAAACTCTCTTAGAGCAAGTGTGTAGTTAAACCTTCGAAAGCTAGCTACTCTTGAAATGATGAAATGGTTTTACTTAATAGACGGCATTCCGACTAGATGCTTTTACGACCCAGTAATACTGAACTGTAGGGAAAGTATCCCGAAGTGTTGTGTATTGATTCGACGGAAAAAGAGTTACTTCAAAAATGATTTTCTAGATATTCCTGGTTCCTACAAGCTATCGCTGATAATTGCATTTGGGATCACACTGCTCCGTTTGGCTGGACGAGAGGAGTTATTCGAGGTTGTGAAAATAATATTGGATACCGTTGCAAGCATTATGGGGGATTCCTTGGACACAAAAGATTTCGTCATGGATTGTATGCAAGTCCCTATCAAACATCGGCATCTCAATATCCTGCTGTGCTCTTTACATGCATGCAGGGCTGCCAGAAGGTAAATGTGATTGTAATTATTGAGAATCTTCCCTCAGGTCCGACAGTATATTTTTTGACTAATGCAAACGAAAAGCATCAAACGATAGGGTTTATTTCATGTATACTGCGTGGTCGTAACCATAATTTATGAGTGATTTAACGAAAAGACAGATGGTTCCCAGTATATCTAGCAGTGACTGATAATATCCATAAAACGACCCCTAAAAATTGCATGAACAACCACACGTAGTCGTCAAATTACCAACTGCAGAAACGCGTTATACATTTGTATGATGTTGTGTGGATGTCACAATACACAACAGAAAACATAACAAGGAACTAATTGGATTCATCTGAGGTCATTTCCTGGTCGTTCCACCGAGGTCGCTTATTTTATCTGTGTGTCTTAGTTTGCGACGAAAAACGACTTACACCAGTATGAGAAATAGACTGGAGTTACGAATTTTTTTAAAGGACGAATAAGCGCAATACGAGATAAAATTATTATCTGCGGAATGCAAATGGAGAACTAACTGGATTTTCCGCTATCCATATGGCCACGTGTTAGCTACATATTTGAGGAGACTTTTCACAGATGAGTGCTAGATCTACAGGAAGACATCAAATTGCTTTGAAATTGCAGAAGTGGGAGTCAAATGGAGATGCCCTTCCTCACAGTGCTTCTTATTTTCTCAGACGGTAACGGGAACTCCTGGATAATATACATTGCGTTTGAGTGAATAACCGAAGAATACTACTGGCTCCTGAATGCCCCTTCACTGTCAAGATCCAGGAGTAAAAGAACATAGATATCTGGTAGGACTACTCTGTAATATACCTTAGCCTGATCTTCTATTTTCGTCAAACTCTGCAGTGCCTAACCAATACTCATTATCCATACGGAATTTTCCATGGTCTCATAACTTCAACAAACAGGTCTGTCTCAAGAACGTAAAAAGTTATAGGAAAACCATCATTAAGACTTGTTTACAGAATACCATATATTACCGCAGTTTTGTGAAGACAGAAAATTCTGGTGTTTTACCGTCGCAGAAACTGAAGTCTTCGCGTAAACACCGACTTCACTGACCATTTTTGACGATTTCACGGTAACAATATGAGGGACTTACAAAGCACATCATTTTCGAAATCTGAAATGTCAAACGCAAAAGACATTGAGTGACATGGACGCCGGCCTACTAGGTTGAATAGATGATAATTCATGCCTCAACTTACAATCAATTAAAAGACGGACCTCCTCATATACCTACGCATTTGTTGGTACTGATCATGTAGCCACAATAACGGCCATTATTTCGTAAGGAATCTGCGGAGGTTCACAGTGGAGTGGTCTTGATTATAACTTGTGGCTTTTAACACTGTATCGAGCACACAAGGGATTCTCCAGCATCCGGACAGATCGAGTTATTCATCATATACAATTCACATTTTGACCTATCAAGCATGGTTGTTTTCATATGGCCGTACGTGTGTTAACTATCCACAATATTTCTTGCGTGCCAATTTCTGTTTGACCCACGCTATCCGTATGTCACTTCTAAATACCGCCATCACACAAACGAAGTTGGCCTAGGTAACATACGGATTTAGAAGTAAGATTCACAAATATATTTTATCCATGTGCCTACGCAAACTCAGTTGTAATTCCACCTGGAGCCCTTCTAGGGTTAGTACTGATCTTAAGCCTTGGCAAAGTACAATTGGGAATGGTTAAGCAGCTCAACCTCACAAAAGCGGAAGTAGTTAAATTATTCCAGCCAGAAAGATATTTAAACCAAGATCTATATTCTGGAGTTTTGAAATTTCATGGCGGTAGTCGACATTCTTCGAAAGCCACCAGCCCGACGTTCCTTCTAACTACTAGAGGTACAGCTCAATTAGGTATATGGGATTTCCAGACAGTTTAAGAAACTAAAAGTACCATCCAAGTAGCTGTGGAAATGAAAAGTTACAACCCAGTTTAGAATGATGGAAACTCATTGGACACAGACTGGACAAAAAACATTTGCTTTGAACAGCTCCCGTCTTGACGGACATAGACAGGTCAAGTGTTTCACCGGGCAGAACTACAGAGAACCAGGCTAACCATGTCATTAAAAGTTCAGGTCAATCGACGACGTTAGAACAAAAACAGAAGCTGATTTAGCTTAGAATCATCATTCGGTGCTGAAGTTGAAACATTGGAAAACTGGACAAGCAACACTTAATACAACCTTTCAAGTGCTACGTACTTAAGTCCTTTAAATGATGATAAAAAAATTGAATGTGATGAATACGTGGGCATTCCATAAGTTGTTTTTGATCAGCCCATTACACTTCTTCAATAGTGTAAGGTAAAACCCCGTTTTTTCATCCAACTAATACAACATAAAATAACAACCTAAATTTCGACACCACTAAAAAAGGGATTTGGAGTTATTTATAGTTTATACAATTCCTCCAGTCTTTTCCATTGAAACCTTTTTTTATTTGACATACGAAGCTTGTAAATCTATATATTGCGTGATCTGAATTACGATAAAGACATTGACGCTCTTGGAATTCGCTCTAAAACAATTAATTTAACATCGCTTGTCAGAAAATACATGCATAAGTCAGAAGATAATTTACTTCTTATACAGGATGATATTATATCTAGCGACGATACGGATGTGTAAGTATCATCTATTAACTCTTCTGCAGATTATCCTTGTTGACTGGTTTGTGAACCACAAGGGAAGAGACTCAAATATGTATTCCCTTTATTTGGTAGTACAAGTAGAAGAGTTTATAGTATTTGGACTACTATAAGACGAAGTTACGAGTCAACATAATGAACCAATTGTCCGTAAAAGGGGATGGGAATTATTATGACTGAAACTTAAGCGCACCCAGTATTCTATAGCATGAAGTGAATACTCCACATGAGAGTGAATATGTGAACTACAGTATATTATACACTGCTTGGAACAGAATATCTAAGACAAGACAGAAAGACAAATCCGTACAAATTAAGGAGTGAAGAAGCGAATACATACCGACTGTATATGGATGGTCTCTAAATAGAAATACATACACATACCATTATGGAGCAAATTACAGGTGAAAATTTAAGTGTATAATAAGTTTGTAAAGAAATGATGCTAAAAGAGTATCCAGAATGGCATGAGACATGAATTAAGATATGAGTGATCATTTGGCGTTAATTTTGAGGGTTAAAAGTGGAATTTTTGTTAACTTTGAGCATCCAGTTGCGTTTTTGCGAACACCCTGAAAATAATCAAGAAAGAAAGTGGGCAAAACACTTCTATAAATATATACTGAAAATAATCTACTATGAGACATGAGGAAGTGGGAATTCTTTTATGCGTCTTATCATTATTATTCGGGGTGCCCTATGAAGCAAACATTACTAATGATTTAATAAGCGGCGGAATGGGTCTACAGTCAGTAAGATGAAAACATAATATGAAGTAGGTGTTTGATAAATGACCATGTTTAATGTGGAGAAGGTTGCAATGAAAGACTTACCATTTGCCAAAAATGTTTACTACTTTGACTTAATCACTGAAAAGATTATTATAGGACAGCGAGATTATATACGCCATCCATAATAAAACCTTTATATCATCTAACAATCAATTAGAAATGTAAATGTTTTTGATCTAAAGGAAATTTACTGATGATAGTTCTCCGACGACAATCGCAAACATTTGTACAATCATACAAAATAACATCTATAAATTTGTAACACATTCATGAAAAATACTACTTATTAAATGTTGAAATAGAGGAATAAAAAAAACAAACAAAAAGCTGTAGTCGGTAAATAAATTTGGATTAGTGATCTTAATAGTCGACTTGGCATAAAAACAGAAGACAAAACATTCACGATATTAGTCACTATGAATGTACAAAAACAAAGTTCTCTAATGAATATTAATAAATATGAGTGGTCCAAAACTATCCATCAAAGCGTATTCCCACACACTGAAATTAGTACTTACACACAAGTTCGTACAACAGGTGGAGGTACGATTTGTTGTAGGATAGTAAAAAATACTATCTATTTAAAATACATTGGTTACAGCGAGCAGCTTTTCATTAGAAGTCAAGTTCCTAAAACTCTATGTCTAAATTAACGAGCGATGTACATAACAATAAATCGAGTAATGGAAATTTGTGTGAAAATACTGAAAGTGATGTAAACATCAGTGTGTAAAACCCTACTAATACGTGATAAAATATTCAACATTGCACAATAATAAACTAGATTTCGCTACAAACTCATGACTTTGAGATCTTAAACAACAAACAGCACATAAATAATTGAAACAATCAATAAAAAATTTCTAGGTTTAGTTAGTTCACAACCTGTCCAAAAAAGTAAACACTGTTGGGGTAAGCTATTTTATAAAATACTGAATTTACCGTTACAGAGCACAACCAAAAAGCATTTAAGTTCTGCTTTATCTATCCAAAACTTTGGTATTACATAAACATTGAAATTTATATTATTGTAAATAACCAGTTAAAAAAACGTTGAGTCAATCAAGTTTGAATATTTAAAGACATAAGTTAGATACTAACACAAGCTAACTGGAATTGGTTTAAACGATTACTTGTTACAAAAAGATTATGTCAGTAGTTATATAAAGAATGAACCTTTTTTTACTTTATCAATTATAGACAGTGATTAATTCCCTATATTTTCCAAATATATTTGTAAAACTATAGACACAAATAGTACGCTGAGTTGAGAAAACTATGGTGAAATAGTGTAAACTATATAACAACCTGTAAATACAATAAAAAAATGAAACGAACTGACTTGTTCATATTGTAAAAATATAACTATTGTTTGATTGTGACAAAATGACTTACTTATTCTGTCGGAAATGAGTATTGAAAAAGTTCTCTACATAAGCGCGTCTAAAAATAAGAAAAAATATTAGAGGTCATTCAAGGACATGTAGGATTCAAGAAAATCTTGTTATATCCACAATATTTTAAAATGATTTAAGTCAAGAAAATTAATCACGATGGGATACGAAGCGAAGTCGATGGTAAAATCCAAACACATCATAGCAACATAATGCAACATTTAACTTGTATGGAGACTTAGGTCACTATACACCGATATCAAAAGGGATGCATATAATGAAAATAAGCCGTCATCAAATGCACAAATATGAGGGTAATCACATGGGAAAATTAAGTTTTTAAAAAGCTGTTTATTTATTTTTACCTCACCAGGACAAAAAAGCTACTACATTATTGGAACACATTAGATACAGCATGGCCGCCGAGAACTGAATTAAAGAAATTTACACAACTAAGCATCCAAGATCATTTTAAGCCACATATAATAAACGACGAAAAGGGATGCTAACGAGTTACCCTTAACTAATCAATCAAAGTCAGACACAAAGGTTAAACCAAGAACAGCCGTGACTCCGAAAGAATAAGGAACAAAATGAGAGGGGGAATCAAACTACCGAGATTTTCTGAAAGTGTTGTTGAAATATGTATGATGAACAGATAGTTTCTCGAAAATTCTGACAGATGGATAAAGGGTTATGTTATGTTTTACGAAATGTCTAGAAGGATATTCATTAAAGGGAAAATACAATTTCAGTCATTTTAACATACAACAGCAAATGAAGATATTTTTTTACGTTGGCACAACGGAGATTTTGTCATCCATAAGTCGTAAGTCAAGTATAGATGAAGTGTATTTTTGCTAAATAAGTATTCAGAGTTGGTTTGACTTATATTAGAGGCCAACAATCGAAACATTAATATTTATTAAGTATTTCTTGAGAGGATGATGAATAACAATCGGAGTATTTAAAAACTAATTTCAAGATAAACATAGTTTACTTAAATTCATAGTACTGTCGTAAGAATGAGAAGTAAATGTAAACAGGAATTGTGAGAATATTTGAGTACACATTTCGTTTCGAACGAACGGAAGTGAAATGTATTTAGTGCGACAACGAGAGGGATACTAAATAAAATTGATCCTTTTTGTAATATGGGAGACCTTGGGGAGACTTCCTAAAAACATGAACAAATGGCATCTGGAATCATATAAATAAACTAATTTTGAAAAGCTTCATTAAAAAACCCTAGGGAATAGCCAGTACCAAGCACAAGCCGATAGGCGGTGAATCTAACCACATTTTAGCGGATGAATACTCCATTCTAATATGGGACCTCATTTATCAATAAATACTATGACGTACAGGAGATTACGTATTCATGCTATTTAATGATACTGTTACCTCTAAGGCAAAGACAGGAAATGGATAACTACATTTAGGAAGAACTAGTAAATTGAAGAACAATGAGTGCGGCAGAAAATTTCAGTAACCATCTTTTGACTGAAAAACATGGATTTCAAATAACTTTCTTGCCATCGTATGGAACTTGTCTGGAATGTATAGAAAATATTTGTTGTACTACTTTACTCTGACATGCTAAAACATCACAGTTTGATAAGTAACTTTTCAATACAATCCATGAACTCAATAAAAGTATCACTGATACTTGTTAGTGTAACAAACTGATTTATTCTATATCACCTTACTTGTAAGACATAAACTTATTTACAAAATACGGGATATAGTACTTTTTTTAGAACTAGATTTTCGTGTGGGAGGATAACGACACTACTACTCTTCAAGCTGTATTTACCAATGCTTGGTCTTTCTCATCTCCGTTGATACTACGAAAACTTCGACTCTTGCTACTTAATTCCACATCGTCGTGCTGATGTATGTGAATCAATGCTAACAACACGCAATTTTTTTCTCGTACTGGAAATTAAAATGTTAATTTACAGGAAAACAGAATAAAGATGGAAAAAATGTTATTGGCAGTATTAAGTACAAAACCTGTTTAATCGTAGTAGTTGTGAAATATATTTTAAACGAAATAACTATTAGACATGAAAAAATTTAGTATTTATATGGTCAAATTATGAACTAAATAGCCTGGCTCACATTTTAGTTTTAACACTATACATATGCTGAGTCATCAAATCAATGTAAATAATTAGTATAATAACTATCAGTGAGGTGCTCACTTGGTGTTGAAGCCACCCGGAGGATAATTGGGAAGATTCATACTTTTAACTGCACTGGCGACATAATCCACATTCAAAAAGTTAGCATCTTCGCCGGCTGAATTAATTATATCTGAGTATGAATAAAGGTAAATGACATAAACACTTTGTGTACCAGTTTATGAATGTTACATTAACTAGACTTTAAAATCCAAACAAATGACTTATAGTGTGTATAATGCAAATTAAAATACACATTGATTTAATTTGTACGGCTAATTAAGCCAATTTATGGTGAAAACATTTTAAAGTGAGTGACTGTATAAAACGAAGGAAATGTAACTAGTACGATGCAGGTTTGATCTAACATAAAGGGCGATTAAATCGTAACGTCAAAAGATTGGATTTTATTTTCAACCTACTGTTCAGAAATGAATCGGTAATTAATGGTGGAACTTTATTGTCTCAAAGACAATGTGAAACGCCTTGTGGATTAAAATTTATGAGTTATAGGTGTATTGAGTGATCAAGAACTTGAAATGTGGATAAAGGATAAAAGATAACAAATGTTAGAGAAAAGTAATCTTATTCGTAAAACAATAATACTAGCGGTACTATTGTATTGTATTTTCCAATCAAATACATTGGGTACTTTACAATAAATTTCATGGAATGAATGAGTGAATGGATAATATGAGAAACAGGTCCAGGTTGATATGATAGGAAGATATTGAAACTTCATGCTTCATTTGTTCACCGAGAGTCCTCAACGTAAGTCTAAAAAATAAATACCATCGTAAGGAAATCGATCTACGCGTGTTTCAATTAACGTAAATTATGACAAACAATAAAAAGTGAATTCACTGAACATCTGTCCTAAATAAATTCACTTATTTAAACGATGTGTAACCGTTTTTTATAATATAAATTTAAAGACATAAAAAGCAGAGGAAAGGTTATTTATCCAGTGTTTGAATGTCTTCAACAACCAATAAAGCGGTCAAATGAAAATGTTATTAAAAAAATATATCTATGATGAGTAAGCTTACCAACAATCATATTGTTTAAGGAAGTATCTAATTCCATTTCTTTACAAACTGCCTCTGGATTCACAGTTGGAGCGGCATCTAGCGCTACCAGGAGGACACTCATATTATCACGACTACCCTGAAGAAACCAAGGTAACAAAAAAACAGTATGATAGTAAAAAATAATCACGTAAGAAAATGATTCTAATTTCATTTTAAGAGACTCAAAAAACTAATTACTGTTGAGTTGATTATTGGGAACCGAGCAATTCAAATGAAGTGTATTTTAGGACAACTTTTCATCTAACATGTAAATGACATGCAAGAATCATTCAGAACTAACCATGGAAAAATTGAAGTAACAATTAATAGACAATTAATATGTGAGGGGTGAAACTTCATTTATTTTCAAACTAATTGGGAAGAAAAAAAACTAGATACTCATAGTGGATAAGTTGGTGATCTGGCTGTAAAATAAGCAATTGAAAATTCTAGTAAATACGGTACAATGAGACTAATATTTCAAATTATCTTTCAGCATTAAATATACCCTTGTCTTGCTAAACATTAGTGCTTATTATCTGCTTTGTAAGTCATCGGAACTTTGGCACACCATTTATTATGTACATGCCAGGACTAAATGATGACCCTTGTATGTATATTATTAGAGTTATGTTAACAATTTAACTTTCAAAGAAATAATGGTCAATAAACATATTTCCGATTTGTTTTTAAGTAGCATTTTGATAATATATATATTTGGTAATTGAAAGTTGGTATTTTTAAAGCACTCTTAATATTGATTATTTACACAGTAATACTCACACAGAAAACAACTACAGTTGGAAACAGGGTGAATATAAAACCGGAAATGTCGTATGTTTTGCAGTAAGTCACTGTAGCAGCATCTAGTATTTTTAGAAAGCAAACTTAAATGTTCGTCACTGCTCATTAAAAACAATCCTTTTAGCTCTGAATTTTAATTTTCAAGTTGCAATCATCAAAGCCTACTGATAATGGATAAAATTCATTCACACACGTGATTGCGATTGTCTTTAACCTATATCTAAATGATGTGTAATTAAACTCAATCTTAGTATTTTTAATAATGCAGCAGTGCAGTGATAAATTCAGATGTTTACTTTACAATTAATAAACTACGACAGTTGTCAATCACAACAACAATGGTGGTTCACTGGTCACTTGACAAACTAACCTTGTGCAAACTAGTGTCGAGAATTTCTGAACAAACATCTGCCAAAGATGGTAAGCAACACAACCGATGAAGGACGTATGTAGTGAGAGTGTCGTTTTCAAACACGTCCCAAATTCCATCACAAGCAAGAAGAAGAACTTGATCGAATTCTTTTCTGCGTTCAACAATGAATATATCTGGTTCAGGAGAAACAAGCTGCTCTGTCGCTCCGCGATTAAGCACTTGTTTGTATTCGAAGTCACCCAGAGATCTGCAAACAAAAATACAATTCAATGTGAACCACTGGCAATAAAAATATAGGCCACTTACACAAACTTTCCCTAAGGGGTTACATCTCAGAAAGCTTCCAAGAATATTTAATCTAATTTCCCTCAACTAAATATGAACCAATCAGTCAACGGCAACGTAGAACCTGGTACATTGGTTCAAGTTGTCAAATCCTATTAACATGGCGCAATGAAATGGCCATGGTAAATCTCGAAGTAGTAGAGGGAGTCACAATATTAGTGGTAATAGAAATTAGGTGTTGAAAATACAATTTGAGAAGTGAAGCGACACAGGGAAAATTTACGAGGTTTGGGTGCCTCTAGCTTCCTTCCAGTTTACAATTACATCAACCATCATCGTCAACGTAGTCCGTGGAGCATTGGTAATAAATATCGCAACCACCTTAGTCAACCAAGAACAATCTCGTCACGAGCTTTACCGCAGTTTCCTAATACTCTGAGTCCAACATCCAAAATGGCAACTTGATGAACTAAATATGAAGATTAGGATTGAACATATTTTGTAGTAATAGTGAAGCTTTTGTACAATATTTTCTCTCCTAAGTTATTTTCAATTAATTAATGTTTTAATACAAACGGAAAAAGTTTGCCAGTGTGAAGGACAGAAATTAGAACAAATACGTGCAAGGCTGGAGAGACGAACAATAGATGCTGTACTGATTCTAAAACGGATAACAACATTACTTTTCATTACAATGTTGATAAATATGTGAGTAGAAAGATTAATGAGATCCAGGAAAACCAAGAAACGTGATTTAACAACACACACTTCTTTGATAAACAAAAACCCGACAGAACTAGTGAGAATGAGTTATTTTAAACGAAGGTACAAAGATTACGAAGGCTTTCAAAACAAAATGTTACGCTTTAAAAATTTTAGGCCCAAACGATGCACGAGTACCAATTAAAATGTTCATAACATGCATAACATATCCAATAGAAATATCAGATATCTGTTTGCTGAATTCATATGTTATCATGAACGAAAACGTGAGCTTTGTTTTCAAAACACTGGCAACTATTTCTTTAAACCAGAAAACACAAGATTTTTATGGTTTTTAAGCTAGTGCGAGTAGTTTTCCGCCATATTTGTTTTCCATTGCTTACTTTCAAAATCGCGTTTCATGTCAGTCCGTAACAACGTAGAGCTTCGTACGTACGTACATCAGTTCGAGTTTACATATCACATTAGCACAGAGATGCAGTAGTCGATTCAAATCCCGTAGTGGTAGATGTAGTAAGATTATAAGCTGTAATCGGAAAGATTAGGGTTTGGAGATGTTATTTAAAAAGTATAATCCAGTGAAATAAATTTGAGAAAAAAAAGACAAGGAGGAATCAGGAGATTAGAATTTGAAAGAACACAAAGAGTGGGTGCACCTGCGACATTGCAAACGATTTTGAGCCATGTCATTCAGGGTCTCTAACCATCGGTTGCTATCATCTCGCGGTCCCCAACCAGGTAGTCTACACCTACCAATATGACTTAGTCCACTTGTCAGTGACTTCATGGACTTGTCAGGATAATAATAAAGGATCTATCAAGAAAATCAGTGCTACCTATTGTTATTAATGGTAACGTGAACCAAACATGAAGATGTTTTTTTTAAGAGAACGCTTATTTGCAATACATGCGACCGAAGCTGCTACCTTGACGCGGTGGTCGGGCTTGCCTATCGTGGTGACCCAACCGAGCTATATTGGCTGGAACATATGTTCCTATAGGTTCTACCATGCCAGACAGGTCGATTGGAGAACGGTAAGACTAAAAGCAGCAACTCAAGGTCTGAGGGCGAAGTCGTACTGCTGACAGTAGAGGGGTGTGACAGCAGTAAGGTGTTTCCCTCGGACAACCAGCATCTGCAGCGATGCTGCCTTCCCACAAGGAGGGGTGCGGTTAGAAAAGGTCGACCCTAAAAATGTCACACCTTACCTTACCTCACAGATTTCCGTCTCCGGCGGTAAGGCCCTTTGAAGAACGGAGATAGCACATTAAAAACCTTCCACGAAAAGGCCGTGCGCGACCGGCCTCAAGTAGTTGTCCCTTGGGCTCTGCGGTCACGCTCCCAGGTCGTTAAGACCAACACTAATCCAATTTCCTTTTGAAGTTCCCCAAGAAATACCCTTCCACGGTGTGGGCAGCCGGGAAGTGACAGCCCTCATACCCGTAACAGCACACGAGAACAAGCTGGTCACATTCAAATCCTTCCTACACCTCCTAATACCTCTTTTATCTCCATGACTAACCCTCCTCACGTCTCTTTATCACCTCGCACCGCTAGGACAAACGATTCGAGTACGTGGAACGCTATTCCTGGTCTCCTGAAACCACGCTCTAAACTACACGTAGGAGCTTTTAACGTCCGAACACTTTGTCAAATAGGACAGCAGGCTTCCTTAGCTATGACTTTAGAATCTCGCGCCATCAATGTGTGCTGCGTCTCCGAAACGCGCATACAGGATTCGAGTAGCGTCATTCATTTGAACTCACCATGCCAAAATAAAGAACCGACTGGATTTACGCTTCATGTATCTGGAAGCCCTGATTCTGCTTCCCGTGGCCTCGCCGGCGTAGGTATAGCATTGAGTCCTAGGGCAGAACTAGCTCTCTTAGAGTGGATCCCAGTAGACAGTCGTTTGTGCGCTGTCCGACTGAAAGGAACAGTAAGGATCCGAAAAGATAGGGACATTCGTCGTTGCCTATTCGTCGTTTCTGCCTAATCTCCCACTGACTGAAGCTCAGATGATGTAGAAGATGAGTTTTACAGAAAGCTCTCGAACCTTCTCCGAAAAGCTAGGTGCTCGTATGTAGTAATAGTGGCCGGTGACTTTAATGCTCAACTAGGTAAACTAAGCGATAGGGAAAGACACCTAGGTGGATCTTATGGTGTCGTGGCTCAAAGAACAGATAATGGCGACCGTCTGTTGCAGCTATGCTCAGATAACCGCTTGTTCCTTGCAAACACTAACTTTAAGAATAAGGAAAAACATCTTTTAACATGGCGAAAACAGTTAGGCAGCCATACGATGCCCACTCCGAGGCAGCATGGAACGATATCCGAAAAGCTGTGGAAACAGCAGTGATATCTGCTAGTAAGGTAAACCGTAAAGTTAGGGAGCAACATTGGATCTCAGCAGCATCTATCTCACTGATAGATGCTCGGAAACTCATTCCACCTGGCTCTGAACATAATGAAGAGCGGAGTCAGCCTAAGCACAAGCTGACAAGAAGTCTACGCAATGATCGCGAACAGTGGTGGGTAGCGAAAGCAAGAGAGATGGAAAAGGCAGCGGCAATAGGTAATAGCAGACAAATGTTCAGACTTGTTAAGGAAACCGGAATTAGGAACCCGACTGTTAGCGAAACAATCTCAGAGAAAGATGGACATATTATTCATTCTCAATCCAGGAGATTGGATCGATGGGCAGAACACTTTAGGGATCAGTTCAACTGCCCTTCAGCCACACTTCGGTTTCCCACGATCTCTAGTCAACCTGAATGGCAAGTTAATGTAGGTCCTCCGACTTTTTACGAAGTTGAAAAAGCCATAGGAAATCTGAAACGAGGGAGAGCAGCAGGCCCTGACAGGTTTGCTCCTGAGATTTTTAAGGATGGTGGTCCAGTATTAGCAATGAGATTAACCGAGGTCTTAGGTAGAATTTGGGAACTGGACGTAATCCCATCTGACTGGTCTCAATCACTGACTGTGCCAGTCTATAAGAAAGGACAAAAGTCCTCTTGTGACAATCACAGAGGAATCAGTATGACTAATTTAGTGTCTAAAATATTAGCCTCAATAATACTTCGACGCCTAATCAAAGCTCGTGAAGAGCAGATTAGAGAAAACCAGGCCGGTTTTCGACCTGGACGTGGTTGTATAGATCAGATATTCACACTACGCCAGGTTCTAGAACACAGATGCCCGACAATAATAGTATTTCTCGACCTTAAGGCGGCATTCGACTCTGCTGATCGTGAGGTTCTATGGCAGTGTTTGTCACTGAAAGGAGTACCAAAGAAGTACATTAACCTTGTAAAGGCTCTCTACTCGAACACAACTGGTCGAGTGAGAGCTTATGGCGAACTGTCATCAGAATTGATTACCTCAAGTGGTGTTCGTCAGGGCTGTCCACTCTCTCCATTCTTGTTCAACTATGTCGTCGACGTACTTTTAGAGATAACACTCTCCTCATCTAAATTTACAGGGGTTGAACTTCTACCGGGAGGTTCACTTGTTGACTTAGAATATGCTGATGACATAGTTCTATTTGGTGAAGACGCTGACAAAATTCAGAGTCTTCTGACCACTCTAAGCAACAATGCAAGCATGTTCGGGATGCGATTCTCCTGCTCGAAATGCAAAATGTTGCTTCAGGATAGGGTTGCATCGACACCCGAACTAATGATAGGGAGTGAAGTAATTGAGCGTGTCGACCGCTTCACTTATCTTGGAAGTCTCATAAGCCCTTGTGGTCTGGTGTGACGAAATCTCAGCACGGATACAGAAGGCTCGACTAGCTTTTGCCAAATTGCGTCATTTATAGCGTAGGCGAGATATCCGTCTATCAACCAAATGACGTGTTTACTGCGCAGCAGTTGGTTCCGTCCTACTTTATGGCAGTGAAACATGGCCGGTAAGAGTAGAGGATATTCGTAGGCTACTAGTATTCGATCATAGGTGTCTTCGAAACACTGCTCGTATATCCTGGGACCATCGAGTAAGTAACACAGTTGTTAGGAAACGGGTACTAGGTAAGGATGGCAAATCAATTGATGACGTAGTGAAACTTCACCAGTTGAGATGGCTGGGGCATGTGTTACGTATGCCCAACGACCGACTGCCTCGATGTGCGATATTCAGTGGTATAGGAGTAGGTTGGAAGAAAGCTAGGTGCGGCCAGACCAAAACATGGCACAAATCCATGAAGTCACTGACAAGTGGACTGAGTCATATTGGTAGGTGTAGACTACCTGGTTGGGGACCGCGAGATGATAGCAACCGATGGTTAGAGACCCTGAATGACATGGCTTAAAATCGTTTGCAATGTCGCAGGTGCACCCACTCTTTGTGTTCTCCCAAATTCTAATCTTCTGAATTCTTCATGTTCCTTTCATTTTTCTCTTTCCAAATTTATTTCACTGGATTATAGTCCTTGAATAACATCTTCAAACCCTAATTTTTCTGATTACAGCTTATAATCTTACTAAATCTACTACTACGGGATTCGAATCGACCACTGCATCTCTGTGCTAATGTGATATGGAAACTCGAACTGATGTACGTACGTACGAAGTTCTACGTTGGTACTGACTGACTGCGAATACAGAACTATGCTGGTCACCTCTCAAATTACGAAATGGTATTTAATATTGACAACTTTGTAGATAAAATTATTGAATCACACAATGTTACTTAGATATAATGGGAACAAGTGCTTAACAGGAAGTAAAACTTATGCCTCATGTGCATAATATTAACACCTGTGACTTCGAGTTGAAGAGAAATATTCTATTTCTCCAACTTTATGTCTGTGGATATCTAATACACTAGAAAACAAGTAGAGAAAATATTTGAGGGGTGTCACAACTTTCTAGGTATAGAAGCTTTATCATCCACTTAAATAGTTCCCTCACTAAAGATTAATCTTTAACACCTAAAAATGCATAGAAGCTGAGAAAAAACAACATGGATAATATGATTTACCTGGAGACAGCCAGGGATCCATTAACACGAGACAACATGACTTTGCCGCCAGCTTCAGAAATTCGTCGACTTTCTATGGGATTATATGGTTTGTGGTCTTGGGTCGCTAGGAAGGTTTTGTTGTCGCGAATAAGTATTGCTCTCGAATCGCCACAATTCGCCATAATTATATGGGTTGGTGTGACAAAGGCAATTACTGCTGTAGAGCCAGATTTTTCATCGGAATCATCAGATGCTAAGTCTCGGTCGAATGATAAAAACCCGTTAATGATGCCTTTCTTGACCAAAGATGTATCAAGCTCTTTATCAAAGCTAAGCTTCTGAAATTCTTCTGTGTTAAGAATAGCCTAAATGTAACCAAAATTAAAAAGCAGATTACTAACTTACATCTAGCAACTTGGCTGCACAAAGCTCTGAAACGCGAGATCCTGCATGGCCATCAAATACGCCGAAATACGACCAGTATTGGAAAGGACTGGGGAGCTCGGACTTAGCTACATGGGCATCTTCCATTTCTAATCGCCATCCTTGCATGCTTGAAATGGCATACCGAAGTCCGTTTCCTTCTCCCACGTTAACTACTTTTTCTGTTTTGGGTTTTTCCAGGAAGGCACCCATAAGCACATAAGAAAGCGCTAAAAAGTTTAATTGAGAAATTGGTCACTTTGCCGAAAAGAATAGGAAAATTGGTAAAATAACCTATCCGGGACTACAGACGATGAAAGTGAGCTATATCCAGATTCATATAGTGAGATTAAATACTTAAGTTTACATCGACTACTTAAGCTAACCGACTGGATCACATGTTTTGAGAGTAGTCAGACAAATGGACCGTTTACAAAAAGAATACCAGCCAGTATTACAATACCGCCTTTAAAGCCTGCAAAGTTAAGTACATCTTTAGAAGTAATAAGTAAGAAATTTGTGTACGTCGAAGAATTGAAGTGACTAGCTGTTGAAACAGATTTAGTGTAGGCATACCAGATAACTACCTAATTTTGAACTTCGAAGAAGTGGTGGCTAAGCAATCAAAAGGCATATTTCGACCGGCAGGTTGCATTAGTTGAATACCGGTTCACTAGCTTTGGTTTAGACAGATAAACACAATCAACAACCGGGTACAGATTTACGTTGGATCGAGTCATTCTACACTAGCCCGAAGAGATAAATTTATTTGAACACATAAACACTGGTACGAGGGGACACTAAATACAATGAGGCCAGTAGCAGTTATTATTGATTTGTGTAAGGGCTATGATACTGTACTGCTCGGGTGCCTAGACCGAAGCAGGTGGTCTTCCTAGGGGACCATGTCCGGAGCCTTCGACATAATACACAAAGCAGTGGATCAATGTCAGGAGATGCAGTTCCATGGTAGCCTAAGATAAATATAACAAAATGGATTGTGAAGGAGCCTAAATGTTATGCTAGTGATGAATGAATATTCGTCATACGGTTCAGAAAAAAACATAACACGAAGGTACGTACATAAGCAGGAACAGTGGGCCCCCAAATGCCCTGGTACGGCCAAGAGTGGAAAGAGTTCACTCTCCCTCTCGAAAAGCTCTCACATGGTCACGCGTATATGGCCTTTGCCAGGGAAGCCATACTCACTGCCTTCTCGTGGCGGGGGTGTTGTTCACGGAAATGAGGACGAAAAGCGAATGTCCGGCGCTTTAACCGGATTCCAAACCAATGGTGCACATGGGCTCCAGTATCCTGCGGGAACAAATGGCGTATGGACCATCTGTTGGTCACCGGCATCCATGGGGCTGCATCTCCTTACGATGCTCCACTGCCTTGTGGATCAGACATTCAGGTCAAAGGCTCCGGGTGTGGCCCCCTAAGAAAACCACCTGCTTCGGTTTGGGCACCCGGGCAGTATCACAGCCCTCAAACATATTGAATGAGAATTGTGTGGCGCATATGTATTTGGTGCCTCCTTGTACCAATATCTATGTGTTAAAATAAATAAATAATAAAGGAACAGTGGAGCTCAAGAATGAAGGTAGATACAGAGTGCATGCATTACGCTATTGAGGACTATCACGAGTTATACTAATCATCTTCAAAAACCGATCGCCATTATCATGAAGATCCAACCAAGTAGTCTGGATCTAACATGGATCAGAGAAACAGTTGGTAACTTCATGGTCAGTCAGTCACGTGCAACGAACCGAATATATATGCGCGACGGTCTAAGTAACAATATTACATAAGCTCGAGACAAAATTATCAAAACAAATCCATGTCTTGTTCTGCCTGCCGCAGGCTTTTTCAACCTGTTCCTACACCAAGAAACATTGTGCGTCAACTTAAGCAGTAATTAGGGATACACAAATGTTCGTACCAGTCGATAAAGATTCACGAATTCATCGCGAAAATTTGTTATTTAATCAGTCAGTCAGTCAGCTACAACGTAGGACCGGGCACATATGTGCATCGGTCCAGGTTGCCATACCGCATCAGCACAACAAGATGAACACCGAATTCATAACAGTGGTTAGGTCAAAGGTAGTAATATATAAGAGAAAGATTGCATATAGAGATATAGTACAAGAAGAAAGAATTGGTTGGTAGAAAGAAAGATATGAAGCGATTTTAATCTCTTAGTTTAAGGGAAGACAGGGAGTGTATACACATACGCCATTGTGATCGATTCTGAGCCATGTCACCAAGTCTTCCCGACCGTTGTTGCTACCTTGACGTGGTGGTCGTGCTTGCCTATCGTGATGAAGCAACCGAGCTATACTGGCTGGAACAACCGTTCCTCAAGGTCCTACCATGTCAGACAGGTCGGTTGACGAGCGGTAAGACTAAAAGCAACAAACCCAAGGTCCGAAGGCGAAGTCGTACTGCTGACTGTGCAGAGGTGTGACAGCAGTAAGGTGTATCCTTCAGACAACCAGCATGACAGCGATGCTGCCTTCCCACAAGGAGGGGTGGGGTTAGAAAAGGTCGACCCTAAAAATGCGCACCTCACCTTACCTCACGGATTTCCGTCTCCGGCGGTAAGGCCCTTTGAAGAACGGAGCTAACACGTCAAAAACCTTCCACGAAAAGGTCGTGCGTGACCGGCCTCAAGCAGTTGTCCCTTGGGCACTGCGGTCACGCTCTCAGGTCACTGAGACCGCCTCTAATCCAATTTCCTTTTCAGGTACCTCCAGAAGAACCCTTCCACGGTGTGGGCAACCGGGAAGTGATAACCGCCCTCATACCTCTAACAGCACCCAAGACCACTGTTGTTAGTTAATACCATATATTGAACCTTAGCACTACTCACTTAATTACTAGAAGACGCGAGTAATGTTTTGAAGACACCGACGATTAAAAAACTGCAGCAACCACGTACCCAACTTTCATAGATCATGCTCCACAGACATAAAGTAATGCACGGCGGACTACTGAGCAGTAATCACGTACTTTGTTAACAAGTGGATATCACACCTACAAATGACGCAAAATGGAAGACGCCAGAATGGCAGTTCCATTAGGAAACATGAAGTGTGGCCTAAATTTATGTAGGCCAACTGGGAAATATATTGAACTAGATGTACCGATATTTAATAGGTATCATAGATATATTGACAGCAGCGTGATTCAGAGGTTTCCTGGAAGTCCATAGAGTTGGGAAATAGGGTGGAATGTGATACCACACGGCTGTCGTAACGGATATACACAGAGCAGTGATTAAATCTGTGATCCAGTAGCTGAGCATTGAATGTTACGTAGAGTCTATACTAGGGTAATTGGGGTGCTAATTTTCGGCAGTGTTTTCGCTTAGCGGAGCCACCGATAGATAAATTAAATTAGTTAGACGGTACGTGTAAGGAGGGTGAATGTTATTTGATGTTAATTAACGAAATAACAAACACTATTTGCCCCGCAATACATAAAAGTATCCGGAGATAAGGAGTGTTAAAAGTTAACTACATTTTACGTGATATGAAATGAAAGCCACATATTTTGCAGGTTATTAATTTTTGAATTCAGAAACATACAGATTCAACAAAATTGGTGAGAAATGACATATCTTGGTTAGGCCTGAATATCTAACTTGTAATATGGAGAAGTTCAAGAAATAATAACGAGTTGATAAGACAGTGATTAAGTAGAAAATGTATTTTTAACTTGCTGTTGACCCATGCCTTGAAACTGAAATTTATTGATAATTAAACGATTTATTTACTTTCAGAGAAGAAACGATACAAAAGTGTATTACTGTTTGAACCACTTAAGTTGGTAGATTACATTTATTTGAACACATAAATACTAGTACGACGGGGAACCAAGTACATATGTATCACAAAAATCTCATCCGATTTATGTGAGGGCTGTGATACTGCTCGTGCGCCTAAACCGAAGCAGGTGGTTTTCTTAGGGGGCTACGCCCGGTGTCTTCGAACTAAAAGTCTGATGCACAAGACAGTGAAGCATCGGTTGAAGAACTGGACATTCGGTTTTCGTACCTCTCAATTTCGTAAATCACACCCCCGCCACGAGAAGGCAGTGAGTAGGACTTCCCTGGAGGAGGTTATATACGCGTAGCCATGTGAGAGCACACTCTCCCCACTCTCGGCCGTTTTAACTCTGACAGAGTCAAAGCCAACACATTTGAGAACAAGAATATATGCCAAGTGAAATTCGCAAACAGCAGCTCAGCATGAAAACTCACAGTCTAATGGACTTTAACAATCTGAAAATCTATCGACAACAAGCACCCATATTTATTATCTGACACCTGCCTAGTGAGTACAAATGGTAGTATAGTAGAGACTTGCCTAACGGAGTATTTAAGGAACATACAACAAAATGACACAAAGACGTGTTGAATACTTAGCAAATATACACCAGGGAATGCGAGTGTATCCAAGATAACAACTATACGAAGCTGATCATGTCATTGATACAGCACTATAACAAGGATTTTGGATTACCGAATTTAATCACTTGAGAATATCGAACCAATGGTCGGCTAGGACTATGGAGGTATCACGCTGTAGTCCAAGGGTTATTATAACTGTTAATCTGCAACAATGACTACACAGAATATGGAGTAAAACAGATGTGTAGGAAACGTCTTTCAGGTCAATTCAGGAAATAGAGCGAGGGAATTCGAAACCAACAATAAAGACAATTCGGAAAACTTTCCTACTGACAACCAACTACCGGAAGTGGTCTCCCCCATTTGAATGACTTAAGAGTAAATCAGATACGAAGAAATGTATTAAAACGGTTTCCCTGTTGCCAAATCAGAACATGACACAGCACTACAATGACACCAACCAAATTTATTTCAACACGATCAAATTCGAGCGTGTTTCATAGCTGAAGCGATAAAGCTGGATGAGTAAACATACCAACTTTACATATGACTAACTGTAAGAAACACTACACAGCTCTGATATAATCGTGGAATATTTGCGATTTGTAGGTATATTCACCTTGATCAGCTTAAAAAAGAACTAACAATACTTTAGGAAATAAAAAAACACAGTGTTCAAATAGAATCATCAAACTTAGCGCAACTCTCTTCACGCAGTTATAAAAGTTACCAATCCGACATACATAACCGGCAGAGTTCAACACCAAATCATCAGAGCAGTAACATAGACCTTCGAACAAGTTTAACAAAACAACAATGTACTCACTGGTTCATTTACAATAAATTAACATGAAATTCTTAAAATATACTTTATGGAAAGAAAAATTTAGTTTTTTGCTTCTCGTGTGTTTAGATAGTTTATTCAAATGTCGTATGGCGATGACGAGTCCTGTTTATCTGTATATTTGTAAAATGAGTTGTAGTAACAGTGATCTCTAAAACATAATATGCATTAAGAATATGATAATTTGTATGATTGTCTTTTTATTGATTGTTGTCAAGATGTGAGGTAATTTCCAAAGTTTCGCTACATAAAGTGCTCAACTTAGGTTATTGTTTGATATCCTTGAATTGCTTTTATTGCTAGGTCTTACCTCAAGTCACCTGTTTTTTTTATAATAATGGATTGAAAGTATTGATGGTTTGTTCGGAAAGTGTTTAAAAATGTATACGGCGTGCGAGCCAGCAATGTGGTCAATAATTAGTGGCTATAGACACCAAATATATTTGATTGAATGACAATTAATGTATATTCGATTGATTTCATACATTGATCTGCCATTTTTATCAGTTTGCGAAACTGCTCATAGTGCCAAAGATTCAGATTGACTGGCACTGTCATTAATGTATACGAATTTGTATGTCAGTCTACTTATTTCTGTGGTACTAAGCATATACGCTTCCCGTCAGTGTCTTTTTCAACGTATCTTGTTAAAGTACAACGAAGACCAATCCTCACATTTTCTGATACATGTGATATGACAGTCATCTGATGTCATTTACAAGATTCAGTCAAGAAATTCTGTACAGTCATGACAGTCATCTGATGTCATTTACAAGATTCAGTCAAGAAATTCTGTACAGTCAGTCAGTCAGTCAGTCACAACGTAGAACTTCGTACGTACGTACATCAGTTCGAGTTGCCACACCACATTAGCACAGAGATGCAGTGGTCGATTCAAATCCCGTAGTGGTACAGGTAGCAAGAGTATAAGCAGTAATCGGGAAGATTAGGGTTTGGAGATGTTATTTAAAGAGTATAATCCAGTGAAAGAAATTTGGAAAGAGGGAAAAAGGGACATGAAGAATTCAGAAGATTAGAGTTTGGGAGAACACAAAGAGTGGATGCACCTGCGCCATTGCGAACGATTTTGAGCCATGTCATTCAGGGTCTCTAACCATCGGTTGCTGTCATCTCGCGGTCCCCAACCAGGTAGTCTACACCTACCAACATGACTCAGTTCACTTGTCAGTGACTTCATGGACTTGAGCCATGTTTTGGTTTGGCCGCCCCTAGCTTTCTTCCAACCTACTCCTATACCACTGAATATCGCACATCGAGGCAGTCGGTCGTTGGGCATACGTAACACGTCTCCCAGCCATCTCAACTGATGAAGTTTCACTACGTCATCAATTGATTTGCCATCCTTGCCTAGTACCCGTTTCCTAACAACTGTGTTACTTACTCGATGGTCCCATGATATACGAGCAATGTTTCGAAGACACCTATGATCGAATATTAGTAACCTACGGATATCCTCTACTCTTACCGGCCATGTTTCACTGCCATAAAGTAGGACGGAACGAACTGCTGCGCAGTAAACACGTCCTTCTGTACTTTACACTATAAATTTAGCAGGCTTGATTTTTTTGTCCGGGGACAGATGTCTGAGAACCTGTGTCAGTCTTTTTTCGCAAACAGAACAACAAACCATTTGTGACAGAGTCCTCGTGTTTTGCAAACGAAAGTCGTTTGTCAGATGTCTTGATATGCATTACTTTATTCACAGACTATCTCGGCTTAACGACACACTTGTTCTGTTCTCCTTATTGTTTTTCATGTTTGTGATCCCCGTAGTAGCCATTAGTTTAAAATAACCTAATCAATTTTCAACTAATAACCAATAGGATTCTGAATGTTTCGTAACATGATAAGTCAAATTTCAGTGGAGTGTAGTCAGAAAGCACGTAGTCGAACAGTAACAAGTTTGAGTGTGTTTCTGTCGAGTCACCCATCGTGCAAGCATATTTACGACCGTACCATTTTGACTACTTATTCGGCGAGGGAATCTTTTTCGACGAGGTTGTATGCAAAATTCTATTATTGTATGTATTTGTAGAGATTATAAATTGATAATTAACCGTATGGCCGTTAAAATTAGATTCTGCAGCATGATGTGATAACATGTTGAATTGGAGATGAAATATAATCAGAGAGAACATGGAAATAAAAATAATTCGATTGAGGAACTAGGTGCTTTGATAAGTGCACGTATAATTGGTCACATGTGAGAGTTCGCGCTTCAAGTTCTTGATGAAAGTTGGTTGGTTAGAGAATACTAACCCTAAGATTGTGATGAAAGTTCTGTTGATTACTCACTTCTGTTATTCGTCAAGTCCAAGACTTCTTCCAGGCCATACTGATGTATATATTCCTGCTTTGTTGTCTTTGTTGCGGTTGTAAACTATCCTGGAACTTCTGGTTATGATTGCATTTCAACATGGAACGGTAAACTGTAGTGTTTCAGAAATTTAATTTAAAGTCTTGGCAATTAAAAGCATGTAATGAAGATGGTTGTGAATTATTTCGTTATTTGGATGTTAGTTATTTATTTGAACACATAAATATTAGTACAAAGGGGCACCGAATACATATGCGCTACACAAGTCATCTGATTTGCTTGTGCGTTGTGATACTATCCGGGTGCGCAAACTGAAGCAGGTGGTCTTCCTAGGGGACCACGCCCGGAGCTTTCGACCTAAAGGTCTCATACACAAAGCAGTAGAGCAACGTCACGGGATGCACTCCCATGATAGCCCACGGCCAACAGTATGTTCATACACCTTTTGTCCCCTCACGGTACTGGAGCCCATGTGCACCATTGCTTTGGGATCAGGGTTTCCCAACTCTAGGTGCATCATCCGTATTCACCAGCCCGGTTAAAGCACCGGACATTTGCTTTTCATCCTCTCAGTTTCCTGAACAACATCTACCGCGAGAAGCTGGTGAGTAGACCTTTCTTGGCAGTGGCTGTATGCGCGTGACCATGTGAGAGCATTTCATCCTTACCAGGGTATTTGTAGGATGGGAATATATTTTCCTAATGGGAAGCGAAACTTATTACTAGGGTATTCATCAGAATCCCAAAAGCTTATAAATTTAGTATATACCTGAATTTTATCAAGAACTGAGTGTATCCACACAGAAAAGCTATTTTTCAGTGAGTTTTAACATCGTTCCACAACTTTCAGTACGCAAACATGTTTCACATGTTTTATGCATATAACTTTCTGTTTTAGATTGTTACTAATTGCTTAAATGAAAAAAACTGTTGTTTTGTTATAGTATTTAACTGTTCTAATCGGATACATACATATACATGTAGGAAGCTATGTTCGGAAATGAAGATATGTTTGATGATGGGGAGTTATCCGTTGAATATTCCTCAGATGACAACTCCGAGCCCAATGTTGATTTAGAAAATCAGTACTACATGGCAAAGTCGCGAAAAGATGACAATCCAGATATGGCACTTTTAGAATTCCAGAAAGTTTTAGATATTGAAGGTACTGGGAATAAAGGCGATTGGGGATTCAGAGCATTAAAGCAAATGATTAAAATAAATTTCAGGCTTGGAAGGTTCGATAATATGATGGAAAACTATAAAGTCCTCCTTACCTACATAAAGTCAGCTGTAACTCGAAATTATTCTGAGAAGTCCATTAATTCGATTTTGGATTACGTGTCAACCTCCAAACAAATGGATTTGTTGCAGCAGTTTTATATCACTACTCTAGATGCCCTTCGTGAGTCGAAAAACGAAAGATTGTGGTTTAAAACTAACACAAAACTGGGTAAACTTTACTTGGAACGTGGTGACTATATGCATTTACAAAAGATTGTTAAGGAGTTACGTGAATCTTGTCAGACAAATGATGGAGAAGACGATCTTAAGAAAGGAACTCAGCTGCTAGAAATTTACGCACTGGAAATTCAAATGTATACAGCCCAAAAAAACAACAAAAAGCTTAAAGCATTATATGAACAGTCTTTGCATATTAAATCAGCCATTCCACATCCTCTCATAATGGGAATAATACGAGAATGTGGTGGGAAAATGCATCTTCGCGAAGGAGAATATGCGAAATCCCATACTGACTTCTTCGAAGCCTTCAAGAACTATGATGAATCTGGATGTCAACGTAGGACACACTGTCTAAAGTATCTTGTCTTGGCCAGCATGTTGATGAAATCGGGTATTAATCCATTCGATTCACAGGTTTGCGATTTATTGTTTTATTTTTCAAAGCAATGGGAAAATTGCTTGGTATGGTTACTAACCGAATATTTTGTAGACTGTATGACTTCATAATATTTTGAATCTATCTGATTGTGCTTGACGATGCAACTCATACTCCTCTGTAACTGAATTGTTTAGAGTTATAGCAAACTAAAAGTGCTCCATAACTCCGAAGCAGAAATGGCTTATTATCCTCCATCACAAGGGATTAGACCATCGTCAAAGCATAGAAATTCATCCTAGACAATCTAAAATATGTAAAAGACCGACTCCTAAGTAGCAAACCAAGTTTATATCAGATGGTCAATTTATTTATAACCTTTTTACTCTCATTCAGTCACTTAAATGCCATATAAATTACAATGGACTAATCCTTTTTATGTACTATGAGGCAACTCATCTAAATGCAGTTACGTGTATTTAGTATTTAGCCATAGCCTTGGTGTGTTTGTAGTACTTTTCGGTCTGAGTCTGAACCCAAATGGTTGAGATTTGAGTGTTTCGATAATTTCAGAGCTTTCTTCAGTGTGTTGAACCAGAATGTGCTCTAAGAGTTTTGCTAGAAGGCAATATGGTTGAAGTGTTTTTAGGTTTCGAAAGCTCCATTATAGTGTCTTGATTATGCTAAGCAGTATAATCTCCACGTAGTTTCAAACCAAAGAGTTCATAGAGGGTCCCTTAAACTTGCCATTCCTTTGTTTTTTGGGTTAGTAACCACCTGATAGCAACTTTGTAAAGGTTGAGTGGTAGTAGTGTTGATCGATGCCTCAAAAGCTCGTAATTACATGCATCATTTCACATGCTCTTATGTAGTGTCATCATTCCTTACTATATTACACTTCTTAATAGCCTTTGTTCCACTTTTTCCCTGTTCAGATAAGTGAAGTACGCTAAATGTGCTTTATTTTGAATTCAAGAAGCAATATGAAGATTTATTTACAATTAAAATAATGAGCCAAGGTTCTATTTTGACTTTAGTCCATTACCCTAATATTATTTACATGTTTTCCTTAAACTGCATTTGCTTTGTAGGAAACAAAACCGTACAAAAATGATCCTCAAATTGTGGCTATGACAAGTCTTGTAACAGCTTATCAGAACAATAATATCGTAGAATTCGAGTCCATTTTACGACATCAACGTGATTCAATCATGGAAGACTCTTTTATTCGTGAACACATTGAAGACTTACTTCGTAATATTAGGACTGAAGTTCTCATCAAATTAATTCGCCCGTACACCAGAATACGCATACCTTTCATTTCACAACGGTTAAATCTAAGCGACCCAGAAGTAGAAAGTCTTCTAGTGGCTTGCATTTTAGATAATACAATACAAGCGCGAATTGATCAAGAGCATCAAATTTTGGTGCTTAGTACAGAAGCTACTTCAGAAGCGCGTTACCAGGCTCTTGACAAGTTAGCCCTACGGTTACGGCATTTACAAATGGCGATGTCCAACAGAGTTCCTATAACTAATTAAAGAGCTTTTGAATTTAAGCAATGACAAAAAACCAACACGACATGCAATATAATATACCGAATTTTCTTCAATACACGGAAATTACAAAAAGCGTACGATATGCAAACAGAAACGTTTTCAACAATCTTATGTAAAATTTACTATGGCAAAAATACAACTGATAACGCAAGTAATTTGCTTTCATCCATCAAGTGATAACAAGTACAATGTAGACTGTGTGCATACCAAAACTGATGGATAGGGTTTGTCTGTAGCAACAAATCCAATTATTGGGTCATTAGTTGGTAGGGTAACTACGTGTTGTGATGCGACATGTACAATCTGTTGCTTTTTTGCTGAAGATGAGTTAGCTGTTGTGCGTTTCCGGAGTTCTGTATCCTTAGAATCATTTGATAGGGGCTGACAATATATGTAGATTCTCCTTGTCAAGTCTGCAACTGCCACAAATTTTAGTGGAGATCCCTCCGATAAAACTGGACTAGAAACAAACCTACTTTCACGTTTACTGGCGAGAACGTAGCCAAATGCTTGCAAAGTTGAAACATGTCTCCATACACATGGGTCTCTTCCTGTCAGTGTATTCTGGCATAGTGGTAACCAAACTATCCCATCTACATCATGACGGATACAGAAAGCGTGTGTAGCATTTGGTTTCCCCGTAGCACAACGAATTTTGAACAACCATTGGTGTCCTGATAAATAGGCCTAAATTAGAGCAATTCGCTTATTAAACAAATTTAATATAAAGAGGGTTATCTAGTTAGTTCGAATCATGTATAAACAACAACTAAAAATGAGTACGAAAACTAGACTGCTTGGATTGCGAGACTGGACAAATAACTAAATTTATGTTTCTTGAAAACTTACGTCTAACGTAAATCATCTTTTAGAAAGGAGACTTGGCTGGAATAGTTTCAAAATAATACTCGCATAATGCTATTATAAAGAATGCGTAGGTTAATTTTAAACACTGACATCAGTTATTCGTAATATCAGTGCAAATGTTTTCGTATCAGTAACGAAATCATATCCACAAAATATAACAGGCGTTACACCAGTCGTCCCATCAGATTTATCTAGTTTTCAGAAAAAAAACCCATATTGAAAACAGGTCTACTTAAGCTCCATTTTCGTTAATAACTGACGGAAGTTGGTTAGCCACTTACTGTAAGTTAGGAGTACTTGGGAAATCTGTCCAAACTGAGGTTTCAGCGTGAACTTGCAGAAAATTTTCCAAATAATCTCATCGATCAGTCATATTTCTAACCCTAAGAACGGTATGGTTACAGGCTATTCAGTTTAAATTATTAGTTCGCAGTTCTCCGACAAACAAAACACAAAATGTTTAACCTACGGTCTTGCTGGGCCAGTTCACTGTATGCAATAGGTTAAAAACATGGGCAGGTCTTAAAAGTTGGTAGCTTACCTGATTGTTTATACCCTCTAAATGGTTAGTAATGTTTATTTCTTGCCAATGAATCATGAGAGCTTTCCGGTTACAAGGAAAGGCTTGCGAATCAATGTCACTGGTGACCTAGTGTGATGTAGCTAAATCGAAGCCATTATTTGGCGTGGTAAGCCTGCTCGTTAATAAAAAAATGATATGCACAAAAATAACTTAGAACCTGGAATATCGGGAATTTACCCTAAATTGTTATATCAACACATCTGGGGAACTGTCCGCTGAAGTCAAATGTAGGAAGCATAGCATGCCAGTTCCTGTTAGCTGTTTCAGGTTTGGTATTAGTAGGGTAATTTCATCAACAGTCCAATAATGCTGACAGTATGTTCAGACCAGACGATTACAACATGCACATCCCATAATTTTCTACCGTAAAGCTGAAACACTACTACTCATTTAAGATGTTTAAGACATGCAAAAACTTATGAAGTCATTAAATTAATAGCCAGGAAAAAGAAAAGGCAAAAATAGGTGGATCTTGTAGTGACCTAAATCTCAGAGTGTAACCAGGTGTTATTGCATTACACGGTACAAAGTACCTATTTAGGGTAACTGAATGGTCACTAAGCATGTAAGACAAATCTCTGTTCGAAGAATATCATCTAATCAAAAGTCTCTTAATTTACAATGGCCTACTTACGGATACGTTTGTCAATCCTTAATTTCATTTTCACACAATGTCCTAATGAAACAACTACCTAGTTTACCACATACCACTATTTTGAAAAAATAACACTAAAAAATTATATTGATGTGGTTAATTTCAATTTTGCTCCAACAAAATTTCAGTTCTTAATGTTTTTGCACTGATATTAACTGAATGTTACTTCTCTTTAATTTTGCATCCTCTGAGTTATTGACTGACTGAGATGTGTATTGCCGATTGACTAACCATCATTTGTTTGGTGTTGATTTTTATATTTCATCATAGTTTAGGGCTGTGTCGAGGGAATAACTGAAGAGGAATATTTTTTTGCCCAATTAGTATTTAAAGGTCTCGAAGGGAATGCCTAATTTATCATAGAATCAGATATCATTTTGAACTTATTCTATTATCGCTTACAAAATAAATACATATAGCTTTATTTTAGCAGTCATATTAGATTTAACAATGCCAGTTGGTAACTAACTTAATGTAACTCACTAGCCCATAGATTTGTGTACCCGCGCATCGAACCATACTTTTATGAGAGGGCTGGTCACACTAACAGGGTTTTTGAGTCGAAGTAAATAGGGACTTGTAGCTTGAATGGCCATGAATCGAGCACTCAACTACCACTCTAGATTTTGATAAGGCAAATAAATCCCCACACATACCTGATGAGTACACTTGAGAGTTTCATGGTCGAACCTTTGTAATAAAAGATCAGTTTCATCTTCACTCATTGGGAAATCAACTTCTTCTAGCTGGCCAACATTGAAAGGCGGTTTCGATGTCAAATCAGCCTTTCCATCTGATTGTACACGCATTTGATCATCCAGACCAGTGTGATGTGAGCAGTGCATTCCAGTTAATATTTTATTTTCATGTGGATCGAGTAACAAACGGGGCCAGTAATGGGAATTCTGTTTAGTTATGCGTATTTCAATGCTTTAAATGAAAACCACAGTTCGTATTTTCAATTTACTGAATATAAGACAAATACAGAAAGGTAATAAAATATGCACCAACCAACCTTATCTAGTGAGGTAAGAATTTACTACTGGAACATTTCGTAACATTGAGACATTGGGTATATTTTACTACTTTCCAGTCAACAAACGAAATATACAGTATTAGTTCTTACGTGAAAACCAAAAAACTAGCTCATCTGTATTGAAAAAGGATTTCTTTTAGCCTACTTTTATTATTCTTTATGGGGCCGAACTGGTCTATTTCGACAGACAGAAACTCAGATAAATATTTATGACTTCACAAACTGGAACATTTTTGATATCTACTATTTGTGCATTTTGCTGTATCAACTGTACAACATACAATTTCTGCTACACTTTAGAATGTGAAAACCATCTAAATCACGGAGAGTTATGATTCCCCGTGAAAACAAGTTACCAAACTATTTTTATGTATATAATCGTTTGCATGAATTTGACAAAATATCATCAATGATCTACATCTCTTTAAATTAGCTTAGCAGAATTATTCGAAAATTGTTCTTAATAGGGCAATTATTTTTCATCTATTAAAGAGCTAGTTAAGATTAATCCATCTAGGAAGCATAGGGTTTATAAAGCCGGCTTTGAGACATCGCTAGTGTGAAAGTTAATGAGACTACCTAACTACCCAAACTAAATTGGATGTGGTGAGGTTAAAACCTCGAATGTATTAGCTGAAAGTCGAAAACTTCAACTACTAATCAACTACTCCACCCGTCTTCTGTTATAATATCGAGCATAAAGATCGGACTTATAATCTTGGATATTTAGTGACGTACCGGTTATTTTTTCGATCATAGGTCCACGAGGGATTGGGTTCTACTGGTTCATAGAGCATCTGATCAATCAGTGTGATAGGGCGATCACTAATTTTTTTAGTTTTCGTGACTGGAATATAGGAGTGCAGGTTCGCGCGGAGTATCTGGTGTTTAGATGACTCTTCACAGATTGGAATGATTTCCACAGAAACAATATTCGAATCATATGAAGATGGGAGAGTGATACCATTTAGCGTAAAAGTGACATTGAGCAAACTAGGATTGATATCTTCGGCGTCAGTTTGTGTCCAAGTTACGAGAAACTCGGGATCCTGTCCAATACATGTATCTTCTGTATCCATTTGTTTAGACTCAGAGTCTGTTTAAATACAAAAGAGCTACCAATTTTAGTAACATGATTTTTTTTAGATAACTGTAGAGAATGGCAAATATTAACGACTGGGGTAAAAATTATGGAGAAAATCATTAAAATTCAAGGAATTAAGGAACCACATGTACAAACCAGTCATTTTAATACTGTGAATATGAACTTAGTCACGTAGCTTGTTCAAACTTAAACCATGGTTTGGAGGATTACTTATTTGATATTCAATTACAAGCATGAATGTTGAGATTCTATTCCATCTACATCAATTTTCATTCATGGGTGAGGTCTGTAGTTATCATTTAAATGCTGTCACAAACCTAAAAAATAACGTAGTTACTGAGTTGTATTATATTTCAGACTAGTTTCGATGTAACAAGGAAAACCTTTAGTCCTTTCCATTATTATTTTTCTTAAGCAATTGTTTTTTCCAACAGCCAGTGGAATGTGGTTTTCTGGTATTTATACGGTATATCTATCATGCGTTAGAAATAAAACATAGCGGATAACCATTGAAAATACCATCATAATAAATGGTACAATACATCCACAGGAATATTAAAAGAAAGACCTGAAACCGATGCATTTGGAAAGTCAGTATAATAAAGTTTGACGTTCAAGTATAAGTTCGTATACCTACCTTTAAACGATTTAGTAAGTAAAAGTTGAAGGATATTAGTGAAATCATATTATTTTCAAACGGTATACAAACTACTTAAGCAGTAAATTCACTTGGAATTTTTTTACTTGAATCTTCCCATTAATGTTTAGGATTGCAATTGATCAGACTCTCATTGGCATATGTGCATTCTTTGCGGATGTCCCCAATACTGCCTTGATTCACAAGCATTGTAAGCAAAGATGGATAGTGGTTAGTAGTAGAACCCGAGACGCGCGTTTCGCCCTATTTGCATATCAGGACTCAGTAGCTAAGTGGATAACACGATGGCGTTTAAAGAGAATGGTACTGAGTTCGAGTTCCGGAGCGAACATCGAATCTGGAATGCTGGTACATCCAGCTGACGAGTCCCATATATGACGAAACGGGCGTCCTGGGTTCCACTACTAGCTACTATTCATCTTTGCTTATAATGCTTGTGAATTAAAGCAATGTCAAGGCGATCCGGAAATGCCCGATTTGTTCAGAACATTTTTACGTATTGAGATGGTGGAGAGGATTTGTAGCACAGGTGGATGGCATTTTACTTATTTCAAGAAAATGCATGGAAACAACCAGCCCCTTATAACGGTTCACGAAACTTACATTTATTAAGGTAGTTTTCATGAACAGATGGATTGCAGGAGTCGTAAATAGCGTGAAATTTTCTTTCTGAGCAAATATGCAGTGCTGAACAATCACCCTCGAAGGCAGCGAACTCAGGAAATGAAGATGCAACGAATTTCTGGTGCCGCACTATGGACCAAGACATGTTGGATTCTAGGAAACGAAAACAATAGAGCCTGTGTTTTGTAGGTGTTTTCAAAAACAACTTACAAGTATTCAGTTAAATGCTATTAGTATAAGAGAATATTCAAGGTGCAAACGTCGATGAGCAGAGAATATGGACGCTTATTATCTAGTGAAATGTCATACGGAGAATCGAGTTACACTTTTGATTATACTTATCATTTAGAAATTATAATAACCAGCTATATTGGTATTAACCGTAGGACCATTACTTCAAATTTCAACTGTCCAGGTGTAAGGGAATCGAATACCTCAACTAGTTGTGGTTTAATATTTTCAATTCTTTATTTCTTCTATTCGTGTCCTCCTTATGGGTTGATTATTTAAATGTCAGGATGTGCATCAAGTGATTGGTAGATTTTCATTTTAAATTGCTAATCTAGTTGACTCATGGGAAGTTGAACAGGTCAACTAGTAAATCTGTGGTATGATGTGGTAGAATAACTACAGATCAGTGACTACTTTCGTATCTGTGATCCACAACTATTGAATGCCAATAACAGAATTGTTGGGAAGTGACCGATGGTTTCTCCAAATTGTTGGTCGCTAGGAGTCAATTTATTAACTTATATTTTACTCATATAGGTTGACAAAAAAGGAATTGCGAATGTATCGTTTAGTATTCTTACTCTCACTAGTTTGCAAACTGATAGTTTGTTCCATCGCAAAGGCGTAAGACAGTGAGTGTTGGAAGAGTGACTTTATGTGCTTAGTTGAAACCAATTACATAAAAGTGATGAGACTATGTGTAGCCATTGTGAATGGAATATTGAGTTAATACTACTCTAACTGCCTAAGAGAATCAAACAAATTGAATAGGAGGAACGATGATTAGTGGATTACATGGAACATAATAATGAAGTAAAACTTTGGGTATTAACCAAAAACAACTCAAAATGCAATTCTGCAGCTACGTGAACCAGATTTATGCAATTGTGAAATTTAAACGAATGCGTTGGAACCAAATTTACTCCATTTCCTATCACCATACACGAATAATATGATGAAGAATTGAGAAATGAGCAAATAACAATTTCTATGATATAAGTAGTGAAGGATTCTTTTATGCCGTCTGGAGTTTAAACTGCGATTGTCCAGAATCAATATACTAAAGCATTTGAGTTTCTTTCAGTTGTTGGGTAGATGAGAGATATAAATATATACTACTGAGAAACATGTACAATTCCGTCTTACCGCTAACCTAGAACAACATTTAATAATGAATTATTGATCAAACAATTGCTAGTAAAACCAGGCCTACAGTGTTTTATAGATGATCAGTATAGTTATGATTAAATTCGTGTCTAGCATAAAAGCTGGGTAGTGAAGTGTTCATCTTAAAACAAATTTCGGTACGCACAGGTGCTGTCTAAAACTATCTTCCTAAAATAATCTGACGTCTTAGATTATGAACGGTAACTAACATAAATGATTAATATCAAAATGTAACCAAATACCTGGTGAGCTGTAAGAGATCCATTCAAGATACGTCACATAAGTTGAAGTCGAATCGCTACATATGGGATCTTCTTCAGATTTTTTCGAAATACCAACAAATAAACAATCCAAAAAGAGTTGATGAGAAGTTTCATCAGAATTAAGTAAACAGTCTAATAGCTGACTATCTTTCTCATGGACAGGAGGTTGGATCCTGCTAACAACCTGAAAATATATTTAAGATTTAACAGATATAATAACAAACTAGGCAACGCAATTAAGTTAACTGTGTTTATTAGGTTCGTATATTACACCGGAAACTTCGAGAAAACTGATCGATTCGCATAAAGACTTCAGAGCAGTTGAACTTTATGCTTGATTTTTTGGTTTGGCAGTTTTTATACGCATATGTAATACTTTATTCCAATGGAAACACATTTCCAACAAACGCGTGAATAAAGACCCAGCATAAACTTCACAAAGAGTAAAGGAAACAGGAATCTGAATCTTTAACTTATTGAGCAGTCGAAATTGTTGAGTCACCACTACCACTTTTAGTACACAATGATAATAATCAGAGATTGAAGAATGTATTGGCGGAAATAAGAGTTCATATTCTCTACTCAGTCATTACTGACTTGCCATGTCAATTTTACACGACCAAAACGTAATCATCAATTTCGTACACATGCATTAGTTCTTTCCGATAAAAATTTAAATATAGCAACAAAACAATAAATATTTCTGATACTACAAGTACAAGGAATCAGAATTTTTAACGTTCCGCCACTCAGTTTAAGTTGCTTCTTTCATGACTTTAAATTCACTCAAAGGAGCTAACAAGATCATTATCTTAGAAAGAGATAAGCTAAGGGAAAAATAATGTCAACACCTGACGATTTAATTCTACTAATATAAGCATTAAAACATACTAAAACGAAGTACCTTTGAATAACAACTCAAAAGAAATTTCATGGGTCAGTATCGTAGTTTTATCTTCCTGCTATAGTACAACGGAAGAACTGGAACGCATCTCGAAGCTAAATAGAATTAAGACTGTCCATAAAGTAACCAATACTCTTCGAAATACTTAGGTTAGATCAAGGGAAAAGATCACTTTCGCATCAATACAGAATCACTTCTACAGATTAAGTTGTATCGAATGTGATGCTTTCTATTTTGGAAAGTCTCCTCGTAAAATCTCAACTCGTGCCACGCAACACCTAAGCTATACAAAAATACCCAACGATCCCGTGAAACTGGAAAATTTACAGACTAAATGGACAATAGTAGTATTTGCTGTATTCAATAACCACGAAGTCAATATTGAAGATATCGAAACAACTCGGAAAGATTTTTTAAGCTATAAAAAAGGGCGCGTAGCTGGAGCGTTTCACGTAATCTTAAAAATCTTAACTCTACTTCTTCAAATCACAAATTCGACATTCACTAGCACACGCATAAGTACACATCGTGATGTCTCATACAAAATCACTTTGACCAATGAAAAGACGGTGACAGAATCAGAACACTTGATTTCGACTGAACTAAATATTTGACCTAATCCTCTTTACTATTCAAACCTGTGTTAATTCGATTATCTATTTATTTACTCTGTGAAAAATCGAACTGAACTAAGTTGCGAAACGTCAGATATCCTAATTTATCAGATTACATCACAATTTGATTCTATCATTTATTTGATGTCAACTGGAACAGAAGTCTTTCATGGCTTTATACCAATTTGAAGTCTTTTCCAAGTCTTTCATGTTCAGTATTATTCTTTGATGCAGCCTATATTCAGAGAGCAGAAGTGATTAGACAGTATTTTGGAACTGAGAAATGAAAGAGTCTCGCTGGGTCAGCAACGGTTAGATGACCGCTCCTTCGCGACTGTGGTTGCAATAAAGTGAGAAATACTCACGTATTTAACCTGAAGTATTACGAGTTAAATTTTAATTAGGATGTCACAGTTGACTCAAAATAAGTAATGACTGGATTGTTCAAAATGTTCACTCAAGTTATTCAGGAAGTAGCAAATAGTTTGAAGATCTATTCAGTCCCATAGTTTTATGATGTGATTAGGAGTAAAAATTCGAAAACTGGTCATGCACAGGGCTACTTCAATATGAAAAGCAATTACAGTAAGTACTGGAGCTAATTTATTCTCAGCATACAAAACCCTGAAAGAAAACGAGCTAAAATCAAATGTCGAAAAGGCAAAATATAAAACTTACGTTGAGTAAATCATTTCTTTGTTGAACATCTGGCTTTAGGAGATATAGATTACCTAAACCATCATACAAAGATACATAATATAGCGCAGGAAACTGGATCGACACACTACGAAACTTTTCATCAGATGGTTCACACCAATCAGGAAGTGTGAAAACAATGGTTCCTTGGTTGAAGTTTTGTGGATACTGTGGTACCTTCATCGACACTAACTACAAAACTACTTGTTTAAACAATATTAGAAACCTACAGACCCATCGGTACTCATGTAGTAAACATAGCTGGTATCAAATGGATTAACACACAGGCAGTTAATATTATTGTATGCTTTGAGATGTTGTTTAGAAGTAACTTCGTTGAGAGGTTTGCAGTAAACTCCATTTTGACTACTTGCCTCATAAATAGGTATTTTAAGCAGACTGAGTTTATAAGACTCAAAATTCGGGTCGAGAAGTGAATGGTCGGGTCTTAAACTAACATTCATTATGTAGAGTGGCGACCCGTTTAGTTTTCGTTAGATTTTTAAGTTGCTGGTGAAAACGTGGTACTGACAAGGTTGTTGCTCCAGTTGACACGAAAGTCTGAAACATATACCACACAGTTGACTGACAAAGCTGAAATAAAAAATATAGAAAGCAGAATATATAGTATTTACATAGTGAATAGTGTTACCAGTTGTCGAAATACTAAATTCTAAGTGAGTTGGTATGTATGGGAACGAGTTGTATTGTTCTGTAAACTCAGGACTATATGATACTATTAAATAACCATGTGTTTATATGCTTATCTTCTATTCTTTGTGAACAGCTGATATGAAACGACTTTTTCCTTCACTCAAGCAGTTTTACTTTAAGGATAGATATAAAGTCTTTGCTGGCATTGAATCAGGTCAATTTACATACGCAAAAACAAATCACAATGTCGGCATATCTAAGATGAGTCTTGTTCGTTCTGGATGCAAAATGTCGCCTTAGGACTGATCTGCATCAAAACTTGAACTAACAATGGGCAGCGAAGCGGTTGAGCCTGTCGAATGTTCGACTTATCTTGGAAGCCTTATTAGCCCTAGTAGGTAGATGCCCGGCTAAATCTCATTATGGATTTAGAAAGCTCAATTGGTTCTTGCCAACTTATGTTACTTGTGGAGTAGTGAGATTTTCATCTACAAGTTCTCTCTGTTTTAGTCTATGGCCTTTAAAAAGAGAATTTTCTTCGGTTGTTGGCATCTGATCATAAACGCCTTTGAAGCGTTGTTCGTTTACGTTGGGACAGCCAAATGAATAATGTTAAGATTAGACAGAAGGTACTACGTAAAGAGAGAAAGTCCATTGATGGTGTGGTAAATCTTTATTGATTGAGGTCATGGGGATGTGCTACCGCTTACCTAAACTCACGATGGTGGCTAGTGTAAGAGTAAGCTGAAAGAAATTTAAAGGTGGCTAAATGCAAACGTGGAACCAGTTTATAAAGTCACTGATTAGATGGAGATTACCTAGTTGGCCCTGAGAGATTATTGTAACCAGGTGTTAGAGACTTTGAACAACATGGTTTAGGATCATTTGCGATGGTGTGGTTAAATTCACTCTATATCTTCCCTTAGATCTTAAGCTTTCAAATGACCTCATAATTCATTAATATTCCACAAATACGTGTTTTTATTAAAGTCATATTTTCAGTTCCTAGTCATTTATACTACTATGATCTAAAATGTCTTGACAGTTTCATCTCGCTTTGTTGAGGTTTGGCAGTTTGAAATTATACATATATGTACCAGCTTTTAAGTTATATTTGACTCGGTGGCCGACATTATTACTTTAATCCAGTACGGTGAAGAGTTTAGCGAAATGAAGCAAAAGTGCAAAATCAATGCAATTTTAGGACTTTATGTTCTGTCGATGATACCTAACAAAGAAACAAGATTTGTTCTTAAAAATTAACACCCTAAATAGATATATCTAGGCTGAATCTAAAATATAATTTGTGTTTTTATAAACAGTTCATAACCAACCGTGTAAGGTCAGCAGTAAGGCTGCTGGCTCATCTAGAACAGTAAGATCTAATAGTGGGAAAGGTACTTGATAGATCTTTGAAGAGAATGAAAATGTTAATAGAGTAATTGACATGGAAAGATTATGGTGCATGCGATATGAGGACCAGGCATAAGCTTAGTGTAACATAAAGATATGGAGAGCAGTAACCTGAAAGACGATTTGAAGTGAAAGGGATCGGTAAAGTACAGGTTATTGGGGATAACAATGATTACGTGTGAAAGATTATCTCTAGGTGAAACGAGAGGTCGTTATGAAGGACTTTCAAAAGTTATTGCAAATTGTTCATATGTTTACCAAATCGCCTTTTATAGAGATTTTATTGAATGACTTACGCGTGCAAGTCTTGTTAGTGACGTTTTTGACGTTAGTAAAACTTTTTGATTTCAAAATTGGATTCGTACAATCTATCTGATTGGTAGGACTAAATGACCTGATAATCAATGAATAATTAAGAAAAGAATGACCCGAATTCCGTATTTTGGGGTTTTCCCCAAAGTTTGGGGAAGCCACAATTGAAAATTTTGGGAAAATCGCATAGAATCTCCAAAATTTCCCCAGGACTGGGGAAAACTATGACGTTTCACATGAATTTGGGGAAGACCCCTAAATTTAATTAAAATCAGCAAACTCTACAGGGATATGTCTCCGACATTACAATGTCGGATAAATGGAAGTGGATTGAATACGATTTAGTCTTCAGTAATAAGGATAGTTTGTTGGTGAACCTGTGTTAATCCTGGCAGTTTGCCTTCCAGTGAAGGTCCAGTTTCTCCTTGGAAATATTTACTGATGGGGCTGATACCACTTGTTTGGGAAAGGCGTTCCAATCATTGACTACTCGATGAGAAAAACGGGACCCCACTTTAAGTTTATTAGATCGCGGTTTTATGAACCTACTTGCTATGACCTCGGAGATTATTAGTGCTGGAGGGAGCAAAAAGATAAGACATATTAACACTCAAATCATAATTAAAGATACGAAATGCCAGTATGAGGTCACCTCGCGTCCCACGATACAAGGGGAAAAGGTTAAGGCGTTTTAGACGCTCATCTTATGGGAGTTTAGAAAGACCCTTCACTAATTTCGTTTCCACACACTGGACGCGCTCAAGTGAGTTAGTATCGTTTACCAGACATGGGCTAGCTGCTTGGATACAGTACTCTAAATGTGGTCGTACGTAGGTGGGATATAAAATTCGAAGCATTTCCTCGTCAAAAGATTTGAACGCTCGGCGAAGTGAAGAATTTGAAGGTGATTAGTTACACCAATGTGATGTTTCTTTTCTACAAATTAGTACATTCTAATTAGGTTGTTGAAAAAATAAAGTTGAACTGAAGATATATCTTCGATTGAAACAAGACGTTTATACATAAGTCTCTTGTTTTAACATAAGATATAGTTTTGGATTAGGAGCGTTATGAATTTTATAATGCTTGTGATTGTAGCGAATCCAGATGATAAACACAGAAAGAGACAAGATAGAAAATAAGCGAGAACCCACGGCCTGACTTCTTTACTGTCTCCGCTTAATGACCTTGTGATACGTATTGCTTCCAAAAGTTTTGGGTGACCTTCGAAACACTGTCCAATACATAGGAGAAAATCTTCGATCACAGTTTTGAAGATTTAGTAGCAGAAGTAGTCTACTTACGTTTTATAGGTATTTGCGATATCCTTCGTTATGAAAAATAATAAGATGTTGTATTTGTTGCTTAGAATCGAAAAAAGCAATTTGTTGTATTGGATTTATATTGAACTGCTCAAAGATGGTTTCCGGAAGATGCGCTTCCGATATGAAATATCATTACTAAATATACCACAGGTAATCGGAGTTTGGCTGCTCGTTCAAACGTAACTCCCTTATAATCAAAATATACCAACCCAGTCACATCAGAAGTCAGAAGTGAAGGGCTTGAATATATAATTAGGAAGTTGTCGATATATCGAGAAGTGTATAGTTTTGGCTGACTAGCAGTATGGCGTACTCACTAGTGATTTAAAGCGGATGCGCGACCGAGCGTCATCAGCTAGGTTGTGTGCAGTAAAACTATTGAGGTCAGTAAAGATGACAAAGGCATATATAATGATTTATTTTGGCTATTTATTTGTTGCTACATAACTTAGAGATACTAACCAGGCATGAATACAAATATATTTATAACTGTTTCTTTCTAATATTGCTGATAAACAATTGATTGATCAAGGGATGGTGTTCAATGTCATGTATGCAGTATTCAATAGGTATACTGGTCACTAAACTTCCTCCAGCTGTTTGGAGGCACTTTTGAATGCATCAGGTCATGGTTCCCATAGCTAGCTTACCTATGTTAGGTCTTACAAAAGTATGGCTACCCACAATTTTTTCTAAGGTGTCACAGCTTGCGTAATTCATTTTCTTCAATCAGTCTTGTGACGAAGTCATCGGTTTGTAAACATAGTTTGAGCATTTGTAGGACCATTATCAAAAGACTCGAATTCACGCGTTTCCTTTTTATATCATCTTGTATTTCTATACTATTGTAATTGTCGTATGAATTAGGAATTCCAGGATTAACGCAATTGAATTAAGAAGACACAGGCACAACGAATGTACTGTATTTAGAATTCGAAATCAAACATTCAACCAGTACAAAGGTATCATTGGTTCATTCAAACACCACAATTTCACACTCAAACCAAGTTGTTAGTTTAGTTCATCCAAAAAATAAAGATGCTAAACGAGTGAGTCATTGCCATATCAAATATAATCTTATGTCTACTGAAGTCTTTAGTTAATCAGCATCCGCTGTTGAATTCAAAACTTCGAAAAGTGTAGGTCCTATATTAGTTTGTATTTTATATGGAATAATTATGGGTCACAGTCACAATTACAAGGAAAATAAAGTTTTGTGATTATTGATTAAATAAGCACAAATGATATGGAGATCGTAATGTGGTGTGTGCTACTTATACGGACAAATCTAAGTAGTATGTATCGGGATTGAGATTAGAATTCCTACTGGCAGAAGAGAAACATGGAGAGCGAAGAACGAAGAGCAAAAATGGTTGAAGTAAATAAATTGGTTTATTCTGCGCAGGTCTTCAACCAATAAAATTCTAGATTCGACTGTGTACATTTAAAAACTAAAAACTACAAGTCACTATATTTTAAAATGCAGATAATAATAGGTTATTCAATAAGTTTTAAACGATGGAGAAATTTTTTTATTGCTCGAATTACTTAATAATGAAAAATCGTCTTACGCTTAAAATTCAACCATGCAATTCTTCTTGTCGTACAAACCAGGACCTTCTACGTAACATGGCAACTAAATGCCCATGGATTTTACTGCTGATATTAGCTGTAAGACAAAATTATAATGCTTGCCGTAGTAATCGCTAACGATTTGCTTAAAAAAAATTACGGAGCTTAGACAGCCACCGAAGTGTTTGATGAGTTTGACTTTTACCAATTATTAATACTATGGACTGTATATAAAGTCTTTTATGAGATTTGCAAGATATTCTTTTTTTGTATGACTAGCTAGTGTAAAACCTACCTTTTTGAGCTTACTTATTGATGTTAAGGTACGCACAACCTGATTTGTGTCTTTTATCGGTATTCCGGAAAGGCACTGACTAAGCGTTATGGGACTTTTTACTTCCACATTAATGCCTTAGTTAAGGACCTGTTATTCACCAATGTAAGCGACCTGTTTGGGTGGTTCCGGTCTGTCGGGGTTGGATGGGAATGGTTTTACCTTCCAGCTTACGTCGAAGTCACACCTCACGGTTAATACATAACGTGTATCCCCCTCTCGTTGTATCCAGGCCCTGTGTCTACTTTGATAATCTTATAGGATAAGGATAATATTAATAAATAAGTGTATTACTAAGAAAACATAGAAGAAATAGATTATGACCGGTACTACACAGGTTAGTTCATGGCGTACAATCAATCAGTAACTTGTCTGCCGGATAATTTGGTCCGGGCCCAATAACATTTAACTGGCCCTACGAACAAAATCTCATACCAAGAAACCGTCATGGATACAAAAAGCTATCCGAAAAAGTAAACCAACTGATTTATCTCTCTTTTGCTAACTTCAAGTCCCAAGGAGAGATATAGAAAATATCTATGGAATCAATTGACATAGGTGACATTTTGACAACTGAATTAACATGAGTTTTTTTTAAATTATTACTATTAGTATTACTACTATTATTAAGGCTATGAATCTTTCAGATAAGTATGATTTTTTTTAAAAAACATCAGATTTTTGAGCATCAATTATTAATAATTTAGTCGCAGTGATGTTCGAAATTTTATATCACCATATAAGTTAAATATGGATGCAGAAAAAGTTATGAGCGCCATGCTGAATGCTATAATAATTTTGAACCTAATATCTGAATAAGATAACCAGTACTGACTGGTCAGTTTGATCGGATATAAAAAATGTGGATCTACCTATGACCATATTAATTGATAATAGAATGTTTAGTGCCTAGCATACTGGTGTAGTATCACGATTTCTGTTAAATAATTCTATCTCTATTCCTTATACTTACGTGTTTATACGGGTTCATTTAATCAGGTAAGCAAAACAAAGGTCAACTTGAGGTCTTGCATTCATGTATAACTCTCACATCACACACATAGTCTCAACGACTATTATTATCATAGCTTAACTGGTGCATAACATATTTTATAGTTGTATTCTAAAAATGGCTTGTTAATTTCTTTCTAAATTTTTTTAAAATTTTACTCGGATATTCGCATAATTTAAGTTATGAAGCACGTGGAAGTACTTCAGTGTAGCTAGAATAAAAAACAAAATACAATCAAAACCGCTTTTCAGATGAAGGCAAAAATAATGAATTATTTGACATGTGCTACCAGAAGTTAAGCACGAATAACAATAATACTGATAAATTACACACACGTATAAAGGTGATGAATAACAGTTCAAAGAGGATAACATAGTTGTAATTCACTTTCTTAAAATAGTATTAATTATGAATGTATCTATGTATAATGATCATTGTATAATATTTGCCAACATATTTTCATATTAATCAAAAATAATTTTCAAAATAATTTTGAGTTAATAATGCAATTGGCATTTTACTGATGATATACTTTTGATATTATATGTGAAAAAATAAGAAAGTTTAACTACTTTCCTTTGATAACCTGTTTCATACTAATAAATCAATTGAATATCAGTGATCAATCGTTGCACATAATATTAGAATAATATAGAAGTAATATTCTTAAGTTATTATAATTCTTTTCATTTATCTGAGTAAGATAGAATAAGTCGTCAGTTCCAAAAATGTTAAAATTAATACAATTATGTGATAATTAGAAGTATTTGAATTATTATACGAACTAGGAATAACTGAAATAGCGCAATTTAAACCAAACAGAACTATATAAGCACAAACGAAAGTATTGTATTTCGAATTCAAAATCAGGCAGACATGAAGTACAAAGGAATCTAACTTAAGGCGTTTAGTGTTTCCTGAAAGCAATTTTTATAGTTCAGTCAATGAAATATTTATGAACGGTTTTGAAGTAATCCCTTTGGTTAGTATCTTGGTAGAACTTCTTAACGTCATCCAATATGTGATGCAGAATGTTCAGTATTACTGTAACTGTTGTGTAAACTATGTTCAAATATCAATGAACTACTACTCAACAATTAGTCATCTTTAAAGGAATGGTTGGAAATTCAATTTATCCCGACATTAAAAAATATATTAAAAAAAGTCGTAACGTTAATGAGTATTCTAGAAAATTCGAATACTTTTGGAGAATATAGTATATTTTTAGCTTGAAAACTTAAAATCTTAGCATCAAACTGAATGTTTTTTTAGTAAACAATACTTCATCCATTATTATTAGTATCATTATACAGATTTGTATTAATAGTCTGTGTTCACAGTGATATTGATACATTTATTTTATAAGCCTAAGCATAAAGTTATTTGGTGAAAAGTGTATAAATAAAAACTATCCTTAATTTTTACCAATATCAATGTTCATCAAAAATATTTCATGAAAGGAAGTTAAGTTTTTGATTAATTTGGAATTAGATCTTTGAACCTATCATTAATAAAGTGGGTGAAACTAACATTTTATTGAAAATCTTTGAATAATAACCTTTCAAAAAAATGAAATTTTCATCCTAGTCTTCACTTAACTAACAGCAACGAGATCAAATTACTAACAGTACAAACTTCATAAAACCCTTATGGAATTAAGTCAACCGAGGATTATTATTTGTGCTACTGGCGAGTAGTTTAATCATGGCTATGTCAAATTTTCTCAGGTTAATTTTTACTTCGATTAATTAAAACAGTTAATTTACAGAGATCCCTTATAAAACACAAAACAGTTGGAAATATAACGTTAGATAATATACATATAAAATAAAGCAGCAAAAGTAACAATAGATTCTCTAGTGGTGCTTCAGAAATAAGATACATAACACAAAGTAATAGACTGATTTTATGGATACAGTTCGTGAAGGAAAGAAACGTAACAAATAATTTTTTCACTAG